ACTACATGCTTAATTTAGACATCAGCACGGCCACTGTGTTATTTCCATCTCAGCTGCGATACAGTCACTCCACAACAACCTAAAAGACCTGAAAGGTTGGTGGATTTCACTGTATTGAATGTTCTCTCTGAAGAAGTGAAGAGTGAAACTTTGCTCACGGTGCCAGTCCTGCTACCAACACCCTAATTACATCACTATTGAACTCACTCGAGCAGCCATCACTGCAGTGTTGAGGGTGGAGAGAAATGCTGGGTGATGTAAAGATGGCAAAAGTTGATTTTGGTACAATGAGTCTGTCATGTTACTGTACCAGACTCCTCTACAACAGCTTTCATGTTAAAGAGTGACTTTACAGCTGCTGGAAGTCTTGTTTTTCCTCACCTTGCTGCAGTGATATCATGTAATGCAATGTGATCCAGAGTTTGTCAGTGCACCATGACATCACTGCTGGGTGTGGTAAGATTCAAATGTTTTAACCTGTTTTGGTTAAACTGTTTTGAGTTAGCCAACACTTACTCCCTGTAAACTTACTTTGTAGTGAGTTTTTAAACAGGCTAGCAGCACGGCTCTTTGATGTTCAAATACCGTATCTCCACAACTAACGGATGGATGGTCATGAAGTTTGGTAAAGACACTGATGATCTCAGGAGGGTGAATTATATGGACTTTGGTGACTTTTCCTCTAGTGCCTCCATGAGGTTGAAATCTATGGTTTTGGGTGAAATTTCTCAACTATGTGATGGATTGTCATTACATTTGAAATAGACATTCAGGTTCCTCAAGATGAACTTTGATCACTTTGATCCTTTACAGGCCCCATATTGTCTAAAGTGATATTTCCATGTCTTTTTTGATTATAAAGCAGTTCTAGGTTCTGTATCAATACTGTGAAAGTATCAAAGCCTCAGTCCACAGAGAAACGCACACAGCCTGTATTCAGAAACTGAGACTTTAAACGAGCCGCCAGGACATCTGTAACTTTGTGATGTCACAACAAAACAGTCACCAACCAAATCCTGCAAAATTGGATGGTGGGTCCAGGTGGGCTGGGCGTGGTGTGTGGCTGAGGGCGGATACTGCTTTGTTGTGACATCACAAGGTTACAGAAATCCTGACAGCTTATTTTAAGAGTCAGTTTCCGAATATGGGCCCCGTGTGTTCCTCTGTGGATTGAATGCTTTGATACTTTCACATTAATAACAATCTAACTTTATACAACATGGGACCTTACTCGAAATACTTGAAATCTGAAACCAAGTTTTCAGGGGCTTTAAAACTTCCAACGTCAGCTCCACCTGTCAATCTCTGTTGCTTTGCATTAATGTTACTGGTCAGAAAGGTTGCATCCAGAGAGGTCTTGATAGAGTTTTGACTGATGGTTTGATGCAGACTGCTCTTTTTGCTCCACCCTTCGATGCACACTCACACACACACACACACTTGCTCTCTTAAATCTATTGTCTATGCATTAGGCAGTTAGAGTGTTTAGGAGCGCTGGGTTGATGTCTAATAGGTCTGAGGCTGATGGCTACAGAGCTTTTATCAGTTCAAGGGCACTCAGCTCCTGGACTGCAGGGCCTAACACAACATTAACATCCCAAACTGTCATTTCGATGCAAACACACATGTACACTGAGACGTACACGCACAGCTGGTCGTGTGTGTGTGTGTGTGACCTTCTGACTTCCCCTCAAGCCCACAGTGAAGGCTGAAGTGATGTGTAAGCAGATCAGAAGCCCGAAGTGCAGAGGAGAGGCGATCACAACAGGCTGGAGAGCGCTGAAGTGTGATACAAAGATAAGCTCCTCTCTCACTTGCCATTTTCCCCCTTTACCTCCTTTTTTCTCCTCCTCATCCCTCCCTCTACCCCTTACATTCCCCTCTCCTTAATCCCTCCACCTCTCATCCATCCATGTCACTCTTTTTTTCCCTACTCCTCCAACTCCTTCCCTCAGTACTCCTTCCCATCTGATGGTTAATTCATGGAGTCTGGCTGAACACGCACCCTCTCCATTATTAATATAACATTAGGGAGACAGAGGAAGGAGGAGAGAAAGGGAGACACAGAGGAGGAGGAGGAGAGAGGAAAGAGGTGGAAGGAGGATGAGGAATTAGGGAGAGGGTGAGAGAGGGAGACAGGGAGGATGGAGGGCAGAGAAAAAAGGTGGAGAGAAGATGACAGGGATGGAGCATATGAAGAGACAGCCAGATTTTTCCCCAGCAGCTACAAGAGGGAGGGAAAAAAAAACGTTGGACGAGTTGGAGGAGAGTGACAGATGAGAAGGGAGAGAATGTGTCAGGAAGAATATTGTACAACATGTGATGCTATTAGGATGCACGCAATGTCTCATGTCCTGTGAAGAGAGGCAGAACGCACAAGGAGAGAGGAAAAGACAGAAAGAGAGACTCAGATGTGTCAGCGTTGATCATGTGACTCCTTTATCCTGGACACACACACACACACACACACACACACACTTTAGACAGGCAGACCTGATTTTACAAGATAATTGCAAAAAATATAGAAGTAAATAAACCAAAACACTCCTCTTCTAAAAAATACCAGGTCTGAGAAGCTTTGTACAGTAAAGACAGTATTCACAGACGCGACAAGTCACACATGTTCTGATGATAAACAGCAGTGAAGGCTGAGTCTTCACGACTCATACGGCTGCCACTGTCACAACTATGTTTCTTTACATTCCCCTAAAACATTCTCACTGTTAGAATAAAAAAATCAAAACAATCAGGATGATGTGTCCTCACATCACCCCAACACTCCACTCAGGCCAATCACGTCACTGAGCCGGGGCTACCTCCGGGCTACCTGGGCTTTCAGCCCTGGGCTGCCACACTGTTTCACTCTGGTGTATTCACAGACGGGCTAATTATGAATTTGTCCACAAGTGAAGCTCAGTCTGAAAGGATAAGGCTGAAGATGTTCTCTGTTTTTCTTATTGTAAATAAATCTCAATAAAAGAGCACAACCAACAGTGTTTTTAACCATTGTATACTGAAGAAAAATATAAACGCAACACTTTTATTTTTTACTCCCATTTTTCATGAGTTTAGATAAAAGATCTCATATTTTTTCTGCACACACAGCGAGGGTTCATTTCTCTTAAATTGTTTTCACCAATGTGTTTAAATCCGTGTCAGTGATTACTTCTCCTCTGCCAGGATCATCCACCCACCTGACAGGTGTGGCTGATCAAGATGCTGAGCACACAGCATGATTATTGCACAGGTGGGTCTTGTTCTCGTCACAGTAAAAGACCACTCAAAAACGTGCGGTTTTATCACACAAAACAATTCCACAGATGTTGCACATTTTGAGGTTGTGTGCATTTGGCGTGCTGAATGTCCACCAGAGCTGTTCACTGAGCGCATTTGGAAAGCTCTGGATCTGCATGCACAACAGCATCATCCACTTCAGCAACTTGAGAGCCATTGAACAGGAGTGGGCCAACAATCAACAACCTGATCAACACTCTGTGCAAAGGAGATGTGTTGCACTGCATGAGGCAAATGATCACACTTGATACTGCCCCCCCCCCCATGTGGGACCCGTTGTTCAGTGCCTAATAAATGGCTTTTATCAAAACAAAACATCTGTGGAATTGTGTGATAAAACCGTGAACAGCCCAAGACACACCTGTGCAGTAACGATGCTGTGTAATCAGCATCTTGATTTGCCACACCTGTCAGGAAGATAGATTATCTTGACAAAGGAGAAGTGCTCATGAGCATGGGTTTAAACACATTTGTGAGGAAAATTTAAGAAAAATAAAACCCCCTGTGTGTGTGTGTGTGTGTGTGTGTGTGTCTAAAATCTTAGATCTGTTATTTCAACTCATGAAATATGGGAGTAAACAAGTGTTGCATTTACATTATTGCTCAGTGTATTTATTTGGTTTTGTATCTTTGTTGGACATAACAAACACTGAGTGAAAGAGAAGAGAAAAAACATATACCAAGTGACGTTAGACTTTTAAACTCCACTGTACATACATACAAATATGCTAAATGAATTCATTTAAAAAAAATCTATGTAGCTTGTACTTCAGAACAAAAAGCTCTTCTATTGAAGGATTCTCTGTGCTATTATTTATCAGGAAGTCTATAAAAGATGCCCACATCTTTTCAAAGTCCTTGAGTTTTCATGTTATTGCAGATGTTCATTTTGATATATATATATATATATATATATATATGTACAGCATTGGCTGAGGGTTTTAGTGGGGTTTTCTACACAGCAGTTGCAATGTATATTTGGTGCAAACAGAATAAACCATCTTATATACAATACTAAATATACCAAGTAAATGTAATTTAGGACATCACAGTAGATCATAGTCAAACGCTTTTTCTAAAAAAAAAGAAATATCAGGACATGAACTATCACATCGTGTCAGGGCCGTCTGTCCCTCCATCACATTCTTGTGAATGCACTATCTCAGTAACAGCTTGAGGGAATTTCTTTAAATTTGGCACAAACATTCACTTGGACTCAAGGATGAACTGATTAAAATTTGTCAGTCAAAGGTCAAGGCCACTGATGGCCAAGGCCAAGATGTCTAATAGGACAAAATGACGAAGTTATGACACATATCCAAAAGGTCAAAGGTCAACTTCACTGTGACATCATAATGGTCTGCAAAAACACTTCTGACCATTACTCAACCGCAAGGCAGTAATTCTACTTCTTTCTTCTTTTTTTTAACAAACATAAGTCAAACAGGAGGAAATAGTGCATAGATTAGTGACTATTTTCAGCGGCGGATTAATCCACATTTGGTGCTGTAGTGAGTAATTGGGGCAGCAGGACGGTGTGTGTAGCACTGAGTCAAAATAAACTACAGTGTGTGTGTTCGTGGTGATGAAGGAACACTTCACACAAAGCAACAGTGAGGCTCACTGATGTATTTTTAATGGTTTTTAGAAAACAACGCTCTATGGCTCAGAGGAATACGATACAACTGCCTTTGATACACAGACAATACTTGTAATACTGTCAATTCATTGTTGGTTTTAGTCACTTCATGGACAGTAACACATACAAAAAAAAACATGGAATATCAACAAGGCAGGACAGGGTCTGCCAAGTTGTGATACTACAATCATCATTATAATATTACAGGTTTTGTTTTGCAGTGTTATTGTTTTTTTGTTTTGTTTTTTGCACTGATGTTTTATTCATGTCATTGTTTTTCTTTTTGTCTTTCTTCATGTGTAGTTTGCCTTGCAGTGGTTGTCTGTTTTGTGTTTTAATGTCTACTTCTAATGGCCTTTAAATTGCCCCATGAGGACAAATAAAGCTTCTTGATTTGAATTTTGAACAACACACATTGACACATTATCTGTAATTTTAACAGCAGAAACATTCGCCTAAATCATACAGCAAATCACGTCCCCACATATTTTAAATCTGCCAAAAATTACCAACTGTGTTTTAACTAAAAGATCTATGGAAATGGCAGCACTGCAATATTCCACTATAATCAGCTTGATATATATCACTTATGATGAAGAGGTTAAGTCAATTAATTCATTCATATTTTAAATATAGCTACTTTTATACAATAATATGCAATGTCAACATGAGTTACAATGTGTATCTTAAAAATTGAGGACATGTATTATTAGTAGAGAAAATCTAATTGTCCTTGTTAATATGTAGATTTATGCAGTGAGGTTCTCTGGATGCTCAGACATTCAAAACTTCACCTCAGCTACATTTTTATTATTGTCTAGCTTTATCTGAATGAACGGATGTGTAAAGAAAATATCATTTAATAATAGATATCAAACTAATGTCACTATTCCCCTGAATTTGCAGTGCTTTGTTGGAGTTATTGGTGAATCATTTATAACAATGGATGATGAACTTGAGCTCAAATCCATAAAGAGGCATTTGTAGTTAAAACATGTTAGGTGTGGAGTGTGACGGTGTTGCTGGTGCTGAGGGCTGAGGTGTTTTTGAAAAGCCTGGTACTGATGATTTAGTCCACAGCACATCAGTATTCTGCAGGGCTGAGGGATCAGAGAGCACAAAGCAAGAAATGTCTCCCCATGGTGGCAGGAGTCGGTAGTGCAGGTGTGTTTTTGTCACAGCTCACAGACTAACTGGGGCAATACAACGTGCTCTTCTCTCTCTCTCTCTCTCTCTCTGTCTCTGTCTCTCACACACACACACACATATACACAAACTCACCTGAACCATTACATGCAGAGAACAACACACATACAGACACACACATTCATGCTACGATTAAACAAAGTCAAGTAAACACACACAGACAGATCAGCTCCCATGTGTCTCCTCAGTGCAGGTCTGTAGGCGAGTCCTTTAGATACACTTGGCCTCCATGTCGTAGAGCTGAAGAAGGTCTGAAATCACAGCATCGATGTCTGCTTTGGTCACGTCCTCACACAGCACCTACACACACACACACACACACACACACACACACACACACACACACAGACTTCAGCTACACACCTGGCCTCAATAAACAGTGGACATCAAAGGTCCACACACCATTACAAATGACCTAGATTTTATTGCCCTGAGAACAGAAGCAGAAAACCAGAACAAATCCAGACTTTTTTCCATTTGCATTTGGACGTAGTAACTTATAAAATCAAAGCTCTAACAAAAGAGACCTAATTTATAAAACTGGTTGACAATGGGAAACTATAATTGCCACCACCCTTCAATTAATACTTAACGCTTACAAGAGGCACGTCTGCTTTGAAGACTGGCTGCAGCTGGACGGTCGGGCAAGGATGTCACTTTGGTTTTGGCTGCTGCTGGCATGACCCTAAAAACCAGGGAACATCTGTGCAAAGCTACAACTGCTGTCTGTGTCCATCAGACTGTAACAGTTCCCTCATGGACCAATTTGAATAATGTAGATGCTTTAGATTCCACTGAATGTGACTCCAACAATGACACACTCTGCATCAGATGGGCATAAAGAAAAAGGCCTTTGAGAATTTTAAAACCTGCATTAACTGATTTTTTTGGCCACTTGGGGGAAAACAGAAAAAAGATATTAGCACAGCAAGTGAGCCGGAGTCGTAATGTTACATTCTTGTTAGCCTCTGTTCAACCAACTTTTATAACTCATATCTCATTCAATATCATCCGGAAAAAAAAGAAGCGTGCTCCGAACACCCTCCACCACAGCAGCTGTTATTAGAAACTGAAACCTTTGTGATCTTTAACAAAGGTAACCAATGATTCCTTTGTGAGCACTACAAAAGAAACTACAACTCCCATTAATGTGGTGGCACGAGTACTTACTCTAATATGAAGTAGTTTTTCCAGTTCTGTAGATCTAGTCACACCATACAACATACTGTTGAGAGAGGCTCCGCTCTGACATTGAAAATGCAAATGCAATATCACAAGACACCACTCACCCACTCAACTACCACTTCACTGCGCTGCCCTCCTGACGGAGGCACAGAACCCTGAGGTGCAACAGGGCCTGACTTAGTAAAAGCCCAAAATAAAGCTAACCACTGAGGGCACTGTCTCAACATATGAGATGATGAGTTAAGTTTTACTGTTGTGTGATGATGTGGAATGTGCACGTGTTGGCTTTCTCTGTACAGATCTGTGGAAATGAATTTCCCCTTGGGGACAATAAACTAACTAACTAACTACCTAACTACCTAACTACCTAACTACCTAACTAACTAACTAACTAACTAACTAACTAACTAACTATTAGTGTTGTTAATGGAAATTTGTATGATGTTTTCTTACTTCTGGAACAGAACCTGTAGGTTATAGTTTCATTTAGTCTCTCTCTGTCATCACTTTTTAAGTTGACATGCTAACTTGTTAGCACACAGTTGCTGACACACAGTTTGGAGTCCTTGAGAATCTAAGTCCAGTATTCACTCTGTTTATCTCTGCTACAGAGGAAAGTCCCTGATCTTCAGCTGCTAAATGCTCCACTATGCTTAGCAGCTGCTCTCTAACTCTGTCTGCTGTTTGCTGCTGAGCAGGTTGTGGACAGTGGGTTTATCAGAGGTTTTTGCTGCTGCTTGCTGCGACTGATGAAAACCACACTGACGACAGCAGTGAGAGTGACTCAAAACAGCAAAGTCGCCGACCGTACAAGCAACACAATAAGCTCAGAGACACCAACAATCTGCGTAGAGCTGAGCAGAAGAGCAGAGTCAGGCGTTAAATCTGTTTGTTCATCAATATGAGCAACACATGGCACATTACACAAAGCCATCTGATCCTCTGGACCTCCTTCAAAATGACTGGTCACTGTCCCACCCCAACATCTTGTTTCAATAAGAATTGAGTTCCTTTAAAGAAATAAAGATGGGGCCTGCAGCTGATTTAAAACACACAAGTGTTTCAAAAATTCTACCAAAAAAAAAAAAAAAAAAAGAAAAGCTAACTGGCAACAATATTTTTCAAGCAACTTTCAGAGAAAACAAGCTAAAATGTAAATCAGAGGGAGCCACGACTTCTGCACCGACAATGTTTACTTGTTATTTAACCGTTTGAAAGGAAGGATACGAAGCTGTGGACTGATTCAGCAGACAAACAGTTTGTGGAGATGCATCTCCAGAGTCACACTGAGCTGATGATGCCTTTACGTAAATTTAAAACATTTTTAGCAGCAACTTCTTCTTCTCGTTGGACCAGCCTGAGCTGTAGCCAAGCACCTGAATACTAACTGTTGTTAGTGAGTAAGTGATGCTACTCAGTTGTTGTGGCCTGGACTTCTCTTCCCTTGAGAATGAGAGAAGCAAGGAAGCAACAACTGGCCAACCAGCACACTTTTTAACATTCACTTATAGAAACACACTGCTCATCATTTCCTCTATTTGAGGCTATAACCTGTTTAGCGTCTCTGTTTAGCTGGAAGATGAAATTATATCAGGTGGATTGCCGCAGCCTGTAGTTCAAAGTAGTTCAACTATTTCTACTGAGATTTTAGCAATTCAACTATTTTTAGCTCACTCTGTTACTATCTGTGGTGCTTCAGCTTTCCCTGAATGTTTAATTGCTTTAAATTGTTTACAATTCAACTGACATTTCAGTTGCTTTCAGTGCCACACTTTAACTGCTGTCACTTCCTGCTCTTTACTGCACAGGTTTAATGCTTTTCATACGGTGGTCCTGAGAGCTCTGGCTCTAAACGCACTGCGGCTTAAGAGAACACATACAAATAGACACAACACAAACAAATTCTTCATGAATTTGACAAAACATGTGCTGCAAATACTCACAACACAACCAGATACACATACACACTGCAAGCACAGAAGACACTGGAAGTGTTTCCAGGGGACATTAAAAAGTGATGCGATGCACTTTTTGTTCAATGGTTTGTGACTTTTGAAGTTAAAAGAATTGAACATGTGTGCAAGTGCAACGCAGCCAGCTTCATCACTTTTTAGTGTCCCCTGCAAACACTTCCATTGTGTTGTAAGTATTTGCAGCATGTGTGTTGATGAAGATGTTTTCTGAATTTGCCTGTGCTTTCTTGCATTGCTGTGCGTTGAGCTCTCAGGGCCACTGTAGTTTCAGCCTCTGCACATTAACTGGCACTTATTCTAGTCTTTGTACTGTTAACTAGTTACTGTACAAAAAAAAATATATAAAATTGCTTTGATCATTTACATTTTTTGACAGTATAGTATCTAGTCCTTGTGGTGAAAAATGGCTTTCTGTTTTAGCTTCTGCTTGTTTCTATTTGTTCTGACTGTACGTTGGCGAGTAGTGAGTGTTGCAGATCATGTAATGTTATGTAAAGAGAGACGCTGTAATAATATTATATTGTTATGTTTTATGTTAATCAGGAGCCACAGACATGATTCAAGCTAAATGCTAATATTAGCCTGTGTCTGTTTGCTAACGCATTTGCCAAACTTTTAACTTTACATAACGTTTTATTGTCCAATTAATAAAGTCACAGCTGCTTCTTCTTGATTGTTGACATGCACTCACACATTTTTGACTCTTCAGTCTGTAAACATGAACACAAAAACACACCTGCCACCACTCTCTCTCCCCGACAGGAAGCTCCACTCCGTAGCTGTTCAAAGCCAGGTACAGCGTCGCAATGGCAATGTGTTGAGGTTTGTGGCGGATACACATGGCTCCATGGTAACAGTCTCTAAGCAATGCCCAGGAAGTCTCAGCCACAGGGGTTCGGGACCAGGCGTGGCGGTTCACCAGCGACTTCACAGACAACAGGTAGTGAAGTAAATACTGAAGAAAGAGAGACAGAGAAAATGCTGTAATACTGTATTCAGTCTATATCTGAGTGATTCTATCTCTTTGTCTTAGTTTAAGCAGAAAGTTAATAATGTGCACAATGGCGATCAGCCAATCACAGGTGAGTAAAAGTCACCTGCACTAGAGACTTACAGTTTCTGGATCAATGAATGCAAGGATGAAATAAAACAAAGAAATGAGAAAAGCTAAAAGATCATGATACAGAATTTTCAGCTAATATCTGAAAAAACCTCTTCAATCGATTTTACAGCAGCTGTACACAAACACACAGGGACAACCATGACAACATCAGCAGTAACAGAGGCAGACAAGGAGGCTCAACTCTAAACAGGGGGGACAGGGATACGCACATGTGCACAAACACACCATACCTTGTGAGGGTGTTCAAAGGAGACGTGGAAGTTGACCTGTCGGAGGATGAGGAGCTCACACTGCACCACGCTGTCCCTCAGGTCCCAGAACTCCTTGTCACATTCTAGAGGGGCGCTGCCACTGTTGAAATACCTGCGAGGGAGGAACGGAAGGAGAGACAGAGAGCGTGAGGGAGGAGGAGGCGGAGAGCATTCGAGGTGACCGCTCTAAGAAGACGTAACACGACAAACAAACAGTGATGAGCAAAAAAAAAAAGAAAAGTTTTGCTCTTTTCAAAATATCCTGCAGTAAAACTCTCTGTTCATAAAGCTGAACCACTTCAGTTAAAGTGAACAGCATTTAACTTTGACTTATTATGAGGTAAATGAACCATTATAGACACATTGGATGACAGATATGTTATATTACTTGTCATGTGTTATGTATCAAATACATAAACTAACATAGTCACTACACTCTGGCAGAATTATACCAAGCATTTACTTACTTTAAAACACATTTGCTCATATGACACTAAACCTGCACTTGTTTTCTTACAGCAGTATGTGTTGCAGGTAGTACCCACTCTTAACGAAGCATATTACCTGTGGCTTACGTTGATGATGTCACGGGTCCTGATGTGCTGCTCCTCCACTTTGCCGGCTAGGTACACACAGCTCATGGCCACCAAGTACGGTTCATACGCACGCATGCTGACACGTTCAAAGAAACGGTGGTATAACACACACGCTGTGGCCACAGGCACCGAGCGCATACCCAGCTTCACCCCTGAGACGGAGGGAGCACTAGTCAATGCTTTAATTAAGAGTACACTCAACATATTCGTATACTGTGGACCTATTTATTTAGTAAGTGTGACTATGGCCTGATAATCACTCTGAAATGACATTCGATTTCACTTCATTATTCATTTCAGTCACCCAACGAACCAGCCCTACTCCAAACTGAGGGAAGATGAGCAGCACTGTGTTGGATCACATGTCATGGACATAAATGCAGGGTGTCCATGGGAATTTTCTGCTATCGTGAAAAAAATAAGATGGTTAAGTCCTTTTTAATGGTAAGAATTTAAATACTAATTATTTTTCCACATAATGATCTATATGAAACAAAAACAGCTGCTTATTTGCTAGTTGGTGTGTGTAAGTACAAAACTTTGCTGCTGATCTTTGTGTGTTAATATCATTTTATAGATAAAAATGTTAATTTATTCTAATTGAATAGGTTAATGTGTATTTAAGTTATATTTGTTTTTAAATTATTCATTAATGTTTCCAATCAAGAATTTTACCATTAAAATTACATTTACACTGTAAGAAATGGACTGTAGCACATTTCTTTTGGAGGGAATCAGTCTTTCATTAAGCAGTGAATTCCACTGTGTGCAGAGTGTTGCATGCACGTCTGCACACAGTTTTCAGGGTTGATGTGTCCTGTCATGGGGCCCAATGTGATATCATTTAGTCGAGCCCAAAATCCCTGGTGGCACCCTTGCTTGGTGGATCAGATGTGTGGTGAAATTAACAATAATCTATAAGAGTAGAAGTAAATGATTCGGAAAAGTCATCAAACATTAAACTGTATTTTGTATTTGTAACTGTATTTGTATTTTCTTTATGCAACACAAAGGAAAACTATTTCTACATTTCTAGCAGCGCACCAGATATTTCACTACTTTAGAAGCCCATTTGGAAATGAAAAAAAAGATTTAGAAATTAGACATGATAAATAAAAAGAAAAATACACTTAATTAGTCAAATATATGTCAAAAGATACTAGATCCATTTGACCAGTTAGGTCAAGATTGATATAAAAAGTCAAAAGTTTAACTTAGCACTAAACAGTTACTCATAGTTTTGCCATAAGTCAAAAGTAAAACTCTGGACTTGTAATTATTTTGTAATTCTTTGTAATTAAAAACCGTAGAATTTAACCACGATTATTATTTTTTTTCATCATGGTTAACTTTTAATCTTTATATCCCTTTTCCTAGCAGAAATGGGCTACCCAAGATCACCATGTCTCCTCCTGATGAGATGAACTGTTGACGCACAGCCTCCTGTGAGTTACCTGTTTCCATGATGAAGCGACAGACGCGAAAGTGTGTTTTCACGTCCCGGGCAGAGTCAGACTCTGCATCCCCGCCGGAGTCTCTCCTGCCCGCCTGCCACAGGGGTCCATCGTGGGTAGATAGACGAGAGGATGAACCCTCCATGGCTAACGGACCATCAGCGGGAGAATCAAACGTTGTCGAGTACAAAGAGACTGGCTACGATACTCGCCACGAAGGCAACTACTGAGTGATAAGACTGACTGCAGGAGAGTTTAACTGGGACTAAGTACAAAGTACTTTTGAAAACAAACAGAACACAAAGATAGAGGAATGGTTATGTTAACTGGACGTCCTAACTACCGCCAGTCCATTTTGTTGCTAGCATGTATCCATCAGGGTTGCCAGATTTGTGACAAAACCTACACAATACCACAACTCAAGATATGCCTCTGCCAAACCACATACACGGCTTGTAAATTCCCCGATCATTACCGTCATTACCAGTTGTATTGTAATACCTACAAAGTATCATCATAAATGTTTAGTGTACCATCAATTAAAGCAAGTATCTTTCAACAGTAACTTGCAGAGTTGTAGGTGGCGTGTTTCTGTGTAACGTGCTGACTTTGAGTCAGTTTGCTAGGATTTCGGTGTAAACAAATTGCTACATTTGAATTTTGGATTGTTATTCATAGATAGATATAGATATTCATGTAATTTTGATGCAAAATAGGTCTACAAAACTAGCGGACAAAAAAAAATTAACCCGTGGCAGCACTTCAAAAGTAGCTCAATTCCACGGGAAACCCGCGCACCTGGCAACCCTGACATCCACAGCTGCGAGGGACGTGAATAACCGGAAGGAAAATAATTGGTTTTCCGGTCAATGACTTCAAAATAAATGTCGTTCGTGAATACGTTTCAAGAACAGAGGCTCATTGAGGTTCTGTTATGCAAAAGCCGGTTTAAATGGAAGCAACGTGTAAGAAAAAATGAAAGACATCTTAAACTCGATATCTAAACACGATATACTTTCCTCAGCAAAGTCGGTGCCTATCAAATTGATCTACCCCCAAAAACTTCCGGTTACATCTTCCAAAGTAAAAGTCTTGGAGGACAGCAGCAAGACACAGGATTGATAAAAAGACACATTCAACTTGCAATTTGAACATTATCTACAAACAAAGTCAACAAACTCATTCACCAGTCTTCAGGTCTATTTAACTGTTATTCCCACTGTGCAGTGTGTTCTATTCCCCACGAGTCGTTACTCAGTGTTGCCATTTCTGCCTAGGACAGTCAGTTTGATTGTGTTGCTATGCAACGAGTCAACAAAAACAGATGCGGAGGCTGCAGGCAGATGCAGACATGTCGTCCAGTTACTCAGCAAATCAGGTGCGATATATGTCTGCTCCCTGACTAATAACAATGGGAATCATTCAATATTTTGATGTTTTGCTCATACATTCTGTCATAACTTAGTTTCTATTGTCCATCCTCAGTATGACAGCGCCTTCAGGTCGCAGAGGCTACAGAACTGGTGTGAGACTAAGCGCTTCAAAGAGGTAGAGACAGCAGCAGTCCTGTCACGTTGTATTACAGTTTTATTTCACATTGCTTGGTAGTTTCAAGAGCAGTATGGAGGCCTAGACCTTTACCCCCTTACCCTGCATTTTCATTACATGTAAGTGTAATGTAATAGACGGTGCTGTTTCGCTTATTGCATTTGAGTATTGTGCAGTGTAGGCATAGCAGGTTAAGGTTATAGGCTTCCATAATAGCATTGTCATCTGACAATTTGACAAGTGACATGAGTTAAACTCACTGTGTGTGTGTGTGTGTGTGTGTGTGTGTGTGGGTGTGTGTGTGTGTGTGTGTGTGTGTGTGTGTGTGTGTGTGTGTGTGTATTGCTCCATGTGTTTATGTGTGTGCATGCAGAGACCCAATGCACAGGAGGGTCACACCACATTCATTGCCAACGATAGAGGACATCTGCTCCCAGGAGTGGCTAAGGTGAGAGCATATCAAACTTCGCCTTCTCTCTTTATTAAAAATGGTCTTTCTGTCCTTGTAAATCTATGACTCCACTCCCTCTTGTGTGGCTCTGATGATACAGAGTGGCAGTGCATGGCCAGACTTTAAGGGGACCTGGGATCTACCGGCTCGTATCCCAGTCCACCGCATCAACCCTACAGGCCGCTCAGTGGAGGGTCTCAACAGGCTGAAGTCCTGGGGCGTTGACCCACAGTGCACTGGATTATCTCAGCCACACAGCTGCAGAAAAAACTCAGAAAGGCTGCAGGATGTTGGCAAGCAGGTTAGGCTACAGTCTGCTGACAGAAACATGTTCAGAATGTTTCTCCATGAACTCCTCCAACCTTTTTTGGCCTTGCTTCATCTTTTAATAAGATCTATTTAAAAAGCCCCGACTGTATCTGTATTGTTTTTGAGGTCATTATAGTAACTGTACTGTGTAATGATCAGGCAGACCTAGATTTTCCTTTCAAGTTTTTCCAGTTTCAAGGTGAAGCTTGGCAGATGTGACCTTTGAGGTAAACCTTGGCAGTGATCAACACCCCACAGAGCAAAGACTCCAATAATCTCTACTCAAAGACAGAGTAAGGTTACTAGCTTCAGGACAAATACAGCATGTTACAGCAGAGATTAAACAAATTGCTCTGGTTACTTACATCAGCAACTAATATTAAAAGTAATATATTTATAAAAATGTCATTTGAATTTTTTAGAGAGAGAAAAAGAGAAATCAAACAAATGTTATCCAACAGAGTAGCTGTGGGCAAGGGAGGGGCAAGATGTTAAGCAATTCCTGACACACGTCAGGACAATGCTTTCCTGAACAAAGAGGTTTACAGGCTTGATTTTGAAAAAACAAAAAGTCAGTGGTGCCTTAAGATGGCAGGCCCCTCAGAGGTTGGGTCACCTGAGCTGAAACCCAGTCCGCCATAATGTGGAGCTTTGTTCTAATGGATGAGATGAGATGGACCACCTGAATATATGATCTGAAGTTGGGGTAGATAAATTAGCTAAGTTCTCTGTGTTGCCTCAGGAGATTACTTAGAATAAAAGCTCTCTCTGATTGCTCTGCATGAAATAGTATGCAAAGTATCTGTGGTGCATATCTGCCTCTCCACAGTGCTACTGCTTTCTATTTAAGTTACTGTATCATGCTGGTTATATATTCTACTAATGCTACTATCCTGAAGACAAAGTTGGAGACTATAGAATTAACCAACTTAAGGTCTAAATCAGTCTCACAAATGTATATCGTTTTTTAAAAGGTCATTTGGTTGAAATAAGTCAAAGTGATCAAACTAGTATGCTCAATCATCTCATCATCAAATTCTGCCCAATCTCTGTTCCCACATCTTTCAGACCAGTGGGGACATACATCAGGACTGTGCTGCCCCATCCACAGCTGTGGCCCGACCAGCATCTCAGAACAGCCCCGTCACTGGAGGTGAGGGAACTGCCAGCCAAAACCAGGACTTGCAGGCAGCTGTGGTTGGATCCGTCACTCAGTCTGCTGAGGACAAACAAGCTACTCAGGCTACTGGGAAAGACAGACCATCGGGCCAATGCTCTGCGGCTGAAGAGAAACCAGCTTTGAGCCAAGCTGCTGCAGGGGGAAACAGCAGCAGCCCTGAAACCGACAAAGGGAGACCAGTGAGCAGTGTGTCAGAGAAAGCAGCAGCATCATCCTCCATGCAGAGACACAGAAACGCACAGGAAGACCAGTGAACTCATTTCTGTAGTGGATGAAAACAATGCCATCAAAAGTAAATGCATTTTAACTGTACTAGTTTTGACTTACTTTAGCATGGCTGATTAAAATTATTTCGAAAACGTGAATCATGAAAAGTCAATATATGGTCATTAGGGGAAAAGATGTCTTAAAATATTTTTTAATGCAGATAGTAAATAAAGATTGAATCAACATTGTCAAGCTCAGTGTGCTACTGACACTGAACCAAAAGGGTGCCAAGAATAGAAATTTAGTTGATTTTGATATATTGAAATAATGTTACAATAATTAAGGACCAGAAACTAGACCCTTTAATTTTTAACATAATTTGGTTCACAACATTCATTTTTCAAAATCAATCAAAATAAAATTCATTTTCAAAATTAAACTCAAACATTTCCAAAAAGTAAATGACAGCACAATTTAAATTTACATAATATTAACTAACAAAATGATTAATTTTACCTTGGAATATTTATCATATTATACTTAAATATCACATTTATAAAGTGAAAATATCTAATAGTACAGCTAACAAAGCATAAAAGAGGCAATGTTAAACCTACTTGGTTATTGTTTAACTGGCATTTGCTGGTGCTAATGCTATGCTAGCTGGCACTTTTTGGTAGCAAATACGACCACAATAAAATACTTAATTTAGCCAACCACTGATTACTCATAATGATTACTGTAAAAGTCCCCCAAGCCCCAAAACCACTTTGACAATGCCTATATACAACCAGTTCCTCCCTCCTCTTTCTCTGTGGGTTCTACCTCTGCTGTGGTTAGTATTTTATCAGTTGTCGTATTGTTCTGTGAGCTGACCAGAGCAACAATATGAGTTGCAATGACGTTAAACATCACAAAGATTAAATTATTGTTTTGTCCTCTGTGGAAAGCGCGTATTTGTGTCAGTCAGTGGTTTGATTAAGTGTACTCTCAAATTCTAGGTAAACTTTGTGTGTTCTGATAAGGGACATTGTGTTACAGCCTAACCCTGTCAGCCATGACAAACACACATAGCACACTCGCCTGCAACACAAAATGTCCCTGTTCCCATGACTCACCATTATAAAACCACATGAATTTCAGTGAGTTATTCCCTCCTTCACACCTCAGCATTTAGAAACAATGGACAACACAAAGGCCACCTCTAGTGTGCATGTGTCAATCTGAGTCATGTATTTACTTAAATGCATAAAATGTATAAACACATGGAACTACTGTTTTTTATTGCAGATAATAACATATCATTGCATATCTCTTCATTATGTTGAAGAGACAGATCACAGAGCTTGGTCAAATATTTTCTTCATACTGACAGTAGCTTTACAGTTTTATTAAGCACTGAATTGTTTCATCAGTGAAACTGTTTAACAAGGCACAAAAGTCAAATGATCAGTCTGCATACAAGGTGTGGCAGATAAACAAATTATTAATCTGGCAGGAAGAAAAATTCACACCTATGCTTGGCGTGGAGGTGTACTCAGTTTTGTTGTAATCCTGATTTTCTTAATGATCAGCCAATCCTTCTGCCCACCTGTGACTTGTATCCTGAGACAGGAAGAGGCAGAGCTATACTTTTTGTCCATCTCCTGCATTTCAAACCTCCCATTCTCAAACGTCCCCACTGACTGGAACTCTTTACAACTCTTCTCCCCTCTCTTGAGGGTAACTACATCATGGCCTGTCTCCACCTGAGCTGACTCCAGGAGGTCTTTACCCCCCGACCCCGTCTCTATAAATATCCCCTTCACCACTGTGGGGTCGGTGAACACCACTGTCAGGTAATTTCCCTTCTCTGGGGAGCGTCCCCAGAAGAATCCCTCCCCAGCATCCCATGCCAATTTGGGGAAGTGTTTCTGGTAGGTGGACATATCAGAGTAAACTTCAGCTGCAGGATTGGTGTAGAATCCCTCCTCAAAGTCCTTGTCCTTTAGCTTGTTGTATGTCCCTTGGAATGAGGAGAAAGTGCCCATGTGCTGGAACAGCGAGGGTTTAAAGAGGATTGGCGTTTTCTGAGTCAGCAGCTCTCGAAAGTGAGACATCAACCAGTCACAGGGCATTTCCTGGTAGAAGATGAAGAGGAAGCGGGCCAGGAGAGGAAGGTGGGCTGACCTGTAGAGTTTCCCAATATAGCCGAGGGCTGAAAATTCCAGCATTGCCCAAGTGGTCTTCTTCGCCTCTTGCTCCTCAACATGCCTCTTGATGGAAGTAAGAAAGTTTTTGGCAGAGGAGACGTCATCCTCTAGCTGGAGGTAGTACTGGCCAAGGCTGGCAGAGTAGTGGATTAGGAAAGAGTAATCCAAGTTCTGTTTGGAGCGGAATGATACCCTTTCTGGAGCATCATTATAGTTCCTCTTTAGACCTGCAGGAGTATCATAAAGACATCATCAGTATCACAGTATCAACAAACAGTCATGACATGACGGGAATATATTTGTACACTAGTAGGATCACACATGCACTGCACCTGTAAGAGGAGGGTACAAATCCTGAGGAACATGGAGGACCACCAGCTGGCCTTGTTCCAGCTCTGAGGCAAAGGCAGTTTTGATCTCCCTCACTGTAGTGACTCTCCAGCTGACATCGAAATCTGCTAGCAGCACTACCACCACCATGGAGGAGCGTTCCTCAGGTGATGACTGGGAGAAGAGGGACTGCAAGGTGGGAATTAGATAGCTGCCCTTCTTCCTCTTTATCGATGATAATCCAACAGATAAATACTCTGAAAAATGTCCGGACAGAAACGTGAAGAGTGAGAAAAAAATGCATCTTTTATAACCACCAATCTACATCTGTACCGTTATAAGGTTTAAACAATACCAACTCTAGGCATTTGTTGTGCAGCACTAATTATGCTCTTTGTTGTTTGGGATGGATGAACTTAAAAATCTGTGACATCTAGCTCCTGTTCCTCTAAAAGGCTGAATGGCTGTTTACATTCCTTGAAATAAAAACATCTAACATAACAACAACAACCACCACCAACAAACAAGTAGCATGTTGCCATCACTGCTAGCATGCTAATCAACCCACCAAACAACAAACCAACAAAATTCCTCAAGTGCCTCATCTCAGCAAGCAACAAAGCATACAAACAAAGCTTACTGTCTTTAAGATCACCAGCTAACAACTAGTGAAAAACATGTTATGATTCACGGATGGCTCTTTAATCCCTGAGCTACAGGGGCGCCCAGTCAGTTCAGTTAACATGGACAACTAGAATTACCACCTCTTGGTTTTATCCCACCTCCAACCAGCCAAATTGCAGGAAATATGGTCACAAAGTCCCTTTCCTGAGTTACAGCACTGAATAATAGCCAGAGGTATTTTGGCAGAACATTATGTCACAGTGAAGTCAACCTTTGACCATTTGGATATAAAATGTCATTTCACTTTATCCTTACAGACACATTTGAGTTAAATTGTGTCACAATTAGTGTGAATTTGTGAGTTATGGCTGAAAATGTGTTTTGTGAGGTCCACCAAATTCTAATCAGTTCATCATTGAGTCCAAGTGAATGCCAGAT